TGTGACTTTTAGGGCGCAGTCACACTGGCCATCCATACCATGCCCAAGCACGCTTCAACCCTAAAGTCCAGTTTGTTTGGCCAGTGTGACCGCTCCGTGCCGTGCTCAGGCAGGGTACACTTCCTTGGCTTTGGCACACTTCGGAGAGGTATGCTTCGGCACGGTACACTTCATGAACGAGCACAAGCACGCGGATACACAATGCTGACAGCCTTCATTATGGAGAAATCCGAAGTTTCATGGCTGTATCTGACTAAAATGACACGATATAAGCCACAATGTAGCTGTCATGTTCTCTGCCGCGGAATCGGCTGCGCGTCTGAGCACACTTCATAATAACATAAAGCATGCATGCATTGTATTACGACGTTATGTACAAGAGGTTATCGTGCTTAAGCACGGATAGTGCCGGCCAGCGTGGGAATGACGCAGCGGGGGGCCAATCATGCTTGAGTACGGCACGGTACAGATGGCCAGTGCGACCGTGCCCTTAAAGCAGTTTTTCAGACTAAAACAAATGCTCCCTTCAGACACACTTCCTTTATTTACCAGCTCCCCCTCCCCCATGTCTCTACTCTTCCCCGCCCACCAGTCCTGTTTGACTGGCAACTTTCTGTGAGTTATTGTAAGGTACGGTACAGACATGTTATGATACAATGACATATGAAACATTTCATTGTCCGGTAATGGTATTATGGGGACATGTTTCTAATATGAAGGTGTGTTTTTCCTTCCAAGAAGAAGGAGGAGGATAAGGATTGGCTCAGCACCAATCAACTTTTGCTCATTAGTTGGTTACATCAACTTAAAAGTACTTCTATGTCAGTATTGTGTTCACTTCATGTTTGTACTTAACTTTCCCCCAAGACCCAAGAATCAGTTATTGCAGGTTCAATTACACTCTAAACTCAGTGGTGGTTACAGAGAGAGGCAGAGAAAGCAGTGGATGAGTGAAAAAGAACAACTGAAAAAAAGATTCCTTGATCAAGCTCAGGGATGATTTGCATCTCAAAGTTGATTCCATTATATGTTTGTCATTTTAGGACAAATCAAATGTTTTTTTCCATTTGGAAAATCTGTTGGTTCTCCTTCAGTTGTACTTTTGCGACATTAATATGCCCCTAATTAAAATTCAAGGAGGTCGTCAAGCAAATTTTGACAAGCAAAGGTTTGAGACATCATAATGTCAACTTGTGATATGATTCAGTGCCTTATATTGTAAAGCAGCCTTGTAGTATCTACCTCTGTAGGCAAAGAAAGAAAGTTTCATTCAATAGGATTACAACAATGTGTTTAATGATAAAATCTGAAAATGAACATTTTCTTGTTTGAAGTAAAAGCAAAACAAAATGATTTAATGTTGGAAAAATCAATTAAAAGGTCCAGTTTGAGTTAATTCATTATTTTCAAAATACATCGAGGTAAACAGTCTCAACAACACATATTAAAACTTTAACAGCTTTAACACAAGTGCCTGTCTTTCTCACCCTCTAATATTCCACTCACACATTTTCTCTTGTTAAGTGAAAGAAATTAGCTTCAGCTGGCCCTGTCAAGATTTTTATGACAGGCAACCCCAGAGTCAGTAAAAGGCTTTAATATTGTCACAAAACCAAAGCAACTTTAAGGGACCATCGTTGGCATGTTGTACATCAGTAAATGATTATGTCAGGATTCTGGTGGATTGATCATATTTGTCTCTTTGTTTATTTTCTTTTGGGTTGGATAAGAGTTGGAATTATATCTCAAAAGTGCTTTGTCTGGTAGTGATGTTTGACATTACCGCATTTAATGATGATTGCTATGGATATTGAAACATACGAGGCATTCTGGTTTTGAACTGCCTGTGGGACAAATAAACTCATAATAGTCTGTCCATTCTAGATTGAAATCTCTTTTTTTTTACTGTCTTCTTTTCTAATTTAAAAGCACACCATGTATTTCTTTTCCCTGACTCACTTTGTCTCTCCTGCTGTGTTTCTGACTTCCCATGTTTGCTGACTCCTCCCGTGTGTTTATGCATTATCACACTCGCCGGTGTGAAGAGATTTAATTGGCTGAGTCACGACATGTGTGAGGACTTTGGACGAATGCATTGGTTTGTGACCTTCCTGGCTGAAGAAATATCTACCATATACAGTATGAGAGAAAAGCTGTGCCATTCAATTCTTACATTTAGGTGAGACTAGAATGACACCTGGGTCCGTAATTTGGACTGTAGTCCGCCATTTGGTGATGGCTGCTCTAGACACAGCGTCCCTGGGTGAGCGGGACTTCTCTATCCCCCACATGGTAGTAAAAAAACATGAATCATGCTTGAGCGTCTGACCAAAACATAATCAAGCTGAAGGAAGTACCAACCCATCCATGTGAGCTGAGAACAGCAAAGCCAGAGAGAGTTTGACTACACTCTCTTTTTAGGAAGTCATTATTCCACTAATATTTACATAAGGTATATTTGATATATATAATATATATTAATATTCAGAATGTTGCATATCATACTTTTAAAAGTCATAGCGAGTACAGCGCATCAATTGAAAATGAAAAGGAAAAGAAAAGACACAAAATGATAGCCCAGACATGATCTAGCATCTAGACCTGAAGTAATCCTGGCCTATAGAGCAACTGTGCTGTACTAAAGGTGACAGAGTGATGACAAAACTGGCTTTATGTTAAGTATCACATCATCACTTTGATAGCTGAAGCTTATGCCCACACATCCAGTGGGCGGTAAGTGACTGACAAGTTTAGGTGTGTGCTGGTTTGTTGCATGTGAATGTAAGCGATCTCATTGTGTCTAAACATTTGAGTGCACACTGAGTGTGTGTGTGTTTGCTTAGATATGTGTGTGTGTGTGTGTGTGTGTGTGTGTGTGTGTGTGTGTGTGTGTGTGTGTGTGTGTGTGTGTGTGTGTGTGTAGCTGGTTTGAGTGCTTTCCATTATGTGTTTTGGGGTTAGAATTGGACTGTCAGTCACAGTAAAGAGGGGAGGAGTGGGAGACGACAGGTGTCCAGGAGCGGGGGAGAGAGGAAAGAGAGAGCGTGAAAGAGATGGATGAAAGTTTTCAAAGAGAAGGGCAGAGGAGCAAAAAAGAGGGAGGTAGAAAGTAAAGTTTGGCAAGCAGATGCAGATTTTTTCTTCTTTATCCTAAAAGTGTCTCAAAGATTAAAATGAATGAAATAGGAAAAATGATATGTACCTATATTAGTGGTATCTTGATTTAGAGCCTGGACTTGAATTAAAATTGATATTGAGAAGGGACCTCTGAGGGTGGAAACACTTAACCAACCTTCATTTAAATAGCTATCTCTGAACAATTATTATTCTGAACAATTGTAGCATGAAATGGTTGAGTTTGCTACAAAGGCAGTAGAATATTCCTCTATTGTCTCCATGAATGCATAAGAGAGCAGTAAAGAGTTACATATGGTCTGGATAAGAACAAAAAGATACAGACATGTATGAATGTATTTGAGGTTGTAATTGGGCTGGCAGTAGCTCAGTCGGCAGGGACTTGAGTTGGGAACCGGAGCTCAGTAGTGCTCGCTGTGGTCAGCCCTCTCACTCTGATATCTCTCAATAATGCATGCCCATATGATCCTGTTTGTGAATGTGTGTGTATTTCAGCCTATGTGTGTGAATGTCACAATAACAGAGTGTAAAACTGAATTTCCCCTTGTGGGACTAATAAAGTATATCACCTTGTTTAAGAAGTTTCTATAATGAGGACCAAACGTCACAGCAATGAGGACTTTTTATCATCAAAGCTCCTTTCACACATTAATCCTAATTCCTGACATTTTCTTGACATTCAGTTTTCCAATATTTGCCTTTCATGCAAGTCCAAAGTGTGGGAGTTTGTTCTTGTCAGATGCACTCACACAACTTGAAGTCATCTGTTGTGAGTGTCTTCCTCTTTGGGTCTTCTACAATGATAGCTGTTTCTGGATAAGTATCACTAAAACATGTACGAGGAAATTTCCACTGTACAAACACAACATTGGAAAACATCATCACTCCACCCACTTGGTCACAGTGAATTTTCCAGACTATAATATGCTGTGAACTTTGAGTGTACTTTTTACTACTGTACTGGCGGGGAAGTCTGCACATAGTGGTGGTGAACAAATTTGGGCATTTAGTTTTAAACATGCAACCCTGTTGAGTAATTTTAAGGACTCGCATGTGTGAAAGGGGCCTTAAAATGTCAAGGAAAAGGAAAAAAAACTTGCCCATTATCACGTTAGCCATGACTGCAAAACACAAACCACATTGCACAGCTCCACATCTTAACATGAAGTGTTAAGTGAACATCCACATATTTCCCATCACTTCATATTATTCTCTCTCGCACACGTTACTCTAACGCTCACACCTTCTCGCAGCTCATCCTTTATCACCCTCTTCTATCTGCTGCTTCGTCTCTTCTCAGATTTGCTCCCTTAAGGTCTTGAGGATGACGGCCATGAATATTTCACTAAACTGCATTCTCAGGTTATCAATAATAAAATGCCATATTCTTATAAATATTCTAAAAATACTGCCGGACTCTTCTTCTTTAGTGGTGCATTAAAGATTCATACACATCTAGCAAACTGCTAAATCTCCAACACCGTAGCACATTTCATATGGACACCACCATTGGACTACATGCAAGTGTTTTCCTCTCACTCGTGTGTTTTTGAGCGTGCATATGTTTGTTTCTGTGTATGTGTTTCTAGCAAACCTTGAGCTTCTGTAACACATTGTCTTAAAAAAACAAGTGAAAGCAAGAAGAATGCTAAAAGAGGTGACTCACATAGTCAACAGTCTGAATCACCACTGTGAAATACTAAAGCACTTTAACATAACAGGCATTCAGGCTGACACACACGCTATCCCTGCCGACACAAACATCCTCCACACAGACTCAAATGCTAACGCTTATTCTCGCAGTCTGACACACCTGCGCTCACAGATGCACTCACTTGTCTCACACACGTTCTTTTTTTTCTCCCTTACCTTGGCGAGATGTCGCAGCCCTGTTGCATGAAGGCTCCCAGGGAGAACCAGAGGGAGTTGAAGATGCCAAACTCGTTGGGAGGTTGGTCAGTGGGGCCCTGCTCGGTTGTACCCTCCTCTGGCTCTTCGGCATGCCACTCATACGGGCTGAAGCGACTCACCTGAGACAAACAAGGAACATTTACAGATCGTTTAGAGGTCAGAGGAAAGAAAGGAAGACAGAAAGAAAGTACAATATCAGAACAATATATAAAAACAGATGCAAATGAGGAGAGGGACAAATATATTACCATAGTGATGTTCACAACAACATTAAAGCAAAGAAGAAAGTTGTATTACAAATATTGAAAGTAAGAATAAGTTATGAAATAGAGCAGCTTGGTAGGGTGTGCACTGTAGGTTCCTCTATAGCAACAAATCTAGATGCTTTCTTTTAGCCTAAAGTCAGGTTAAAGTCAGTCGATGATTTATGAAGAACACATTGAATGTGGTGTGGCACTTTTATCTACATTATTACTCAATAAACCAATACCACGTTCTGTTTCCAGACCTAAATATGTTGATTTGTGACCAGTTTGCAACCTTCATCCTGAATAAGTGATTGTTGAATGTCCAAAAGACATTGAATGGATATTTTCTGTTAGCGAACTTGATTTTGAATATTCATATGGATGATGTACAAAAAACAAGACGTTGCATCTAGCACTGCTAACTTGACAGTAGAGCTCTTAACCAGCAAAACTGAAGTTGGAGTGGTGTTCAGATCATCGTATGCAAAAGCTTATAGGGTCGCAGTACAAGGTTTTAAAATACAAGCTGGGAATGAGAACTTCTTGAAGATCTACACCTGAATCACCTTGTCATTATTATGTTTTTTTGTGAGTCTTGCACATTAAATTGTGTAAATGAGTAACTCCTCCCCAATACTTTACAGTATGTATTGAATTAATTCCTATACAGAATTTTTCTCCATCACCATGAAAGACATTTCAACTGAGGGGTTAAAGGAATAGTCCTCAAGACTAGTCCCCAGAGCCAATATAGAAAAATGTTCAACTAAAAAAGAGATCTTTTATATCATCCTAAACCCAAGCCATTAAAACTCTTCAAAGCGTTACAGCTCTCAATTCAGTTCAAGTGCTGACATCTTACTCACCAAAAAGAGCACAACACTGACTCCGATGTAAGCGAACACTATGCACATCCAGATCTCGTAGGCCAGTGGGTCCAGGAAGGAGAAAACTCCTGGTTTGGATTTCTGCGGCTTTTTGATCATGATGGAGATTCCCAGAGACATGAAGGGCTTCGAGAAGTCGATCACCTCTTCTCTCACCAGAGTGATGGTCAGTGGGGCCACTGCAATTTCTGCCTTCTGCAAAGAGTAATTTGGGGAGAAAGTATGGAAATATAAGATTAGTGTAGTTCATTAACTACACTAATCACAAAAAAATTGTGATGGTGGAAAGGACTTCTCTAGAGGCCGCATTAGGAGAAAGTCTTAGATGAAGGAAGGAGATATAAAAATTGAAATAGAGGAGGTCGTTTAAAGTAGACAAGTTTAGTAAAAGATTCTGTGGAGTTTGAATCAGGAGCAGCATAAGGAGGAGAATAAGGAATATAAGGAACGCACCGAGAGGGAATTGGTGCAGCGGGGGTGAGAAAAAGGGGAGAGGAGAGAGTTGAAAGAGACAGAGTGGGTAGACAGAAAAGCAGTCGAATGACAGAGAAGTAATTCATACGTGGGCATGAAAGTGACACTGCTAGAATATAAATTAGTCTGCAAGGTCTCACACGCATTTGCATACATGCAAACACGCATACACACACACAGAGTCAAAAACATCATTCATTCAGCACACTGAGTATCTGTGTTGGAGTACCTGTGCGTGTCTAAACAACGTCTGCAGTCTTAACTGGGAAAGAGGCTACAATAACTGCATTTCAAATGACAAGTGTTCTAGTGCATGAGCGAGGATGTTACAATGCATGGAAGATAAAACAGAAAGAGAAAAACAAGAAAGTCAGGAGTGATATGGAAAAGAAAAGGAGGAGCTGGCAGAGGCATATCAAAAAGCCACAACAAAAAGAGAGAAGAAATAAATTGGAGACAGAAAGCAGGGGATGAAAGGACATGACACGAAGGATAAGGAGAAGAGAGTCACAAGGACATGTAGATATGAAAACAGAGCAAAGAGGAGAAGTGTAAAGTGCTGAAATTGTCTAAATGTGTTTTCTCTGTGTGGCAGAAGAGTCATCAGAAAGGACTGTGAGTGTTTGGAACAAATCAAACCAGATTAGTGAGTGCGGTGGTTCTGCTGCGTCACCTTCCACTAGACGGGTTCCGGAGGCTAATTAATTCTGTCGCTGTTCTGCAGCGAACGTCTCCGATTTGGCTCGTCTGAAAAGTGACGACTGACATTGTCTTGTGCATGTTGATAAAGTTTGCATTCAGACAACGCGGTTAAATCCCAGAATGTGCATAAGAGTGAGTGGCATAATTAGTCAGGCTGCCAAGTTCTGTAAGAATTGAGTGAACCCTTCTAGACACAGCTTCACTGCAGGAGGCTGACATGGGAGTTAAGGAGCAGAAGAAAACTTTAGTGCACCACAAGAGCTATTTTTAAGCGTTGTCAGCTACTGCTTGATGCCTTGTGTTGGGATCACAATAGCAGAAGCACATTTAATGCAATTTGAACTTCCTGCAGCACATATGAGCTGTAGAGATAGTAATATTCACGCTCCAACCATTGAGCTGTGATTTGTGCACTTTTTCTGTGGCCAAAATGTGCGGTAAAAGTTGATTGCATTGCAGTATAATGTACATCAAAAGGTATTAGTCTCATACTCTTAGTGTAAAGTAAATGTAAAGTCATTCTAGAGTACTTCAACTTGTGTCACTACACTGTAGAGGAAAAGAGTCAGATTTCAATTCGTCATAAGCTTTTGTTTCAATTTGGAGCTGTAAGACAACATTCTGAAATAAAGCATCTTAACAATTCTGTGGATAGTCTATTTAGTTATTTCATCACTGAAGAAAATAACTTGAATAAATTGCATTGTTACGAGCTATTAGGAATCTCAATTTGTGCACATCTTTTTGTGAATTTAACTGAAACAGAAAAAGAGCATTCATATAGTCACAAGACTGACTATTACAATGTGATATGATTTGATAGTGACGATACAAAATAATATGATACAATACGATATGATATACTTGATTGTCCCCTTGGGGAAGTTTGTCTTGAACTAACACTGCTACAAGCATTCAGCTGCCTCCACAATTAATCAAAAACTATTTCAGCAAATGTATTAATAAAGTCTGGGATTTAAATGCACCTTTTTCTCTGTGCTATTTTGAGTAGTTAAGCAATTGATTGATTCCTACAACTAGAAATGTTGCTGGGTTATATGTACAAGCTGCTCCAATGAAATCGCCATTAGTGGAATTAATAAAGAATTGAGTCCCATCAATGCTGTCATTATTGTTGTATTCACTTTCGTAACTCTGTAACCTCAGTGTTTTCTGTGTGATTGGGAAATCATCTCATGGATAAGATTCTAATGTTTCTGGTGTGTTTTAACCTGTAAAGGTGGTCAGAGACTCCTTTGGTGATGTCATCTATGAATAAAGTGAGGTTGAACTGATCAAAGTGAATAAACACGCTAAATTTGAAGTAAATCATCTTGAGATGTGAATTCTTAAGATGGATTTCTTCAATGAGTAAGTAAAAAAAAAAGTAACTTCAGAGCAAAATAAAACAAACATTAAGGTACAGTCAAGACTAAAGCTCTGTCCAAACTCACCCCATACACAAGTTCTCCCACCATGCCATTCCATATCTTCGTGTCTGGATCTCTGGCTCCGTATTTCCCGTCCGGTACGATGGATATCTTGTATTTGATTCCGATGTGTTTGGCGATCTCAGAGGCCAAGTCCACACAGTATCCCTCGAACTGGTCATTTCCCTCATAAAGTTCCCAGTTTTTCTTCAGCATCACATAGGGACCCTCCTACGAAAGCAGAATAAAGGGAGAAAGACAAAGCTGTTTGGAGGAACATGAGAGCAGCGATTATTAAAAGAAGGAAAATGTACATGCTGTACAAAGAAAAATTAAAAAAAAAAAAAGGAAAATGATTCTTGTTTAATATATTAGGTCAATTACATGTCCAAAGGAAACATAGTACTTTATTAAATACACAAAGGGAATCAACTCAATGAAACAGAATTCAAATCTGCTACATATGGACATCAGCTTCTACGGAAGCAACACTTGGATCAAAACATGAAGATTCTCTGCTCAAAGTCACACATCCACATTTTTTTTGACATATCAAAGGAGGTAATCCTTTCGCAAACAAACCATGTTGTCGGGAAAACGCAGCAGCCACAGCTTGAGAAAAACAGCTGCACAGTTCATACGACAGGAATAATATTAGAGCTGTTTTGAAAAAGGTAATTTCTCAGGTAGATGTTTTATATCTTGTTTTTCTGACATGCAGCACCTTGTTTTATGCTTTCATCTGACTCTACATGCCTCCACTGGGACCTGCACCTGACTTGTTACAGCTCTAATGCTAGGAGAAAATAAAAAGGGGAAGAAAACTGCTGCTTTGGTAATTTTTCTTAAAGCCAACACACATGCATGGTCACAGAAAAGCATGCTCGTACGCCTGTGCAGGATTTATGTGAAAAAGGAAACACACATACACAGTTCTGAATGGCAGCGCATCCATCAGGAGCAGTGAGTTATGGTATTATGCCTGAGGCAGCTCACCCTGTAATCCACCAGAAACCAAGCCTATTAAAATGCTATCAAAATCTTTTTAATCAAAGACTAATCTCATCTAATTAATCAAACAGGCCGCTATGATATCCAACACTACTGCGCCAGGAAATGGTTTATGAAGATAATAAAACACAATAAAATAATGATAACATGTTGTGGATTGAATTCTTCAGTCAGGATATTGATTCACATAGAAAACAAGGACAGATAATTAAAGAGAATTGAAGACAACTAACTTATTTTAAAAGGATTCAAATGAGGAATACAATCACTCTGACACAGATTGAGAAGAATCGACACAACAGTTTCTATCTAGGAAATGGAATTACTTTGAAAAAAAGGTGCAGTTCAAACACAATCAGCAGAGGGATTAAAACAATCTGAAAATGAAGTATTCCATTTTCTACAAACAGATGATTTACCAATTGATGTTTTCTCTCTCAGTAAACAAAGGGTTTGAAACTAAAAAACATTTATTTGAGTACTATGAAATCAATGTAAGGTAAAATACTAATATTATTATCTAATGGGCTTACATGAATTTGTATCCCATTAACATACCATCATTGTCATTTTGAGCATGTAAGCATACAATACATTTTAGAAAAACAGACATTTTTAAGCAAACAAACAAAATAAAGAAAAAAAACACCCCAAGCATAATAAACCATTACATGGCCATTTCTTGAAACAAAATACATTAATTCCAAACATCAACCAAACAAATAAGCTTTTAATTTATGCTTATTTTTTTCTTTCAACCATTTTTATGACTAACATCATTATCAAAAGAGAAATGTTCCCGTGTCAGAAAATACAGAAACATTCCTCATAAAATGTCATTATCAGGGACATTAGCAGGACCCGAGGAGCTCATCCCATCGACTCAACATGAATTAAGATGTTTATGAACAGTAGAACAGTTTCAAGTAAATGCTCTCTAATACATCAACACAGTCATGAGAACTGCTCTGTGGCAGGGATAACATGTATTCAAATGTGATGTGAAATTATGTTTTAAACTTTAGTTTTCATTGATGTTCTTGAGGTTTTCAACCTGGTGTGACATCTGAAACACCCATCAACTAGGCTACTAACTGGATCTAAGTTATAGTAAAGAGTACTTTTTTTTAAGAGTTCAAAGTGCAACCAGCTGCATCTTACTCGCCTTTTATGTCATTACATAATGTCAGGACATTCTTGGTATTCTTGTTAAAATACCCTCACTGTAGTTTGTTTTCCAACTGTGCATGAGGTATTTCCATGCAACTTTTACCTGCCAATGACCCTGCAGAGGATTTCTTCTCAAATTAGACAGAATGAGTTACTTGATTTATCATGATGTCCGTCCTGAAGGTGCAACTATTTGATTATGAATGACAGCACAGTGCTTGCAATGTTTAGTGTATGCTCAACAAAAAAATATCACATCATTTGAATAGAAAGACAAATATGTTGCCTACAATAAACTTTAGAGTTGCCACTGTCAAAGACGGAATATTTTTTTCAGGTTAAAATGAAGCAAGATGAAGAATTAATGACGTAACCAGAAAGACGTTATTATATAAAATGACAAAAAACTAGTAGACTATCTTTGACCATCTCCAGCCTGGAATTGGTTTGGATGACTTTCTCTATGGCATGCTCTAATAATTGCACTCATTGTACAGTAGCCAAGTCTTTATTTGTGAAGAATTGCACAATAATCCACCTGAAAAGACAATGCTGCTGGAAATCGGGAGAGATTACTATTGTGTCATATTTAAAGTGAAAAGATAATAAGGATAAGCTAGCTACTAATTAGTCACAAGAGCTAACATATTACGCTTAGTGCTAGCTAACTTATGGTTAGCTTGCTAAGGGTCAGAGACAAGGGTCTCAATGGCGTTCAATATCGTGGCGAGTAACGCTGTGGATGAGATGGTATTTGCAACTAGACACATTTGCCTAGGAAAAAGGGACTTCTGCAGTAAATTTTTGAATATTCCATAATTTACAAAGATGCCAATGAGACAGGCCCACTCAGGATGCTTGGCAGTGCAGTATGTGCTGGTTTAACACCTGCAAAAGCAGTGCAGTCCTTTTGTGGATCTGGCCCTTTGTTTTGTCAGTTGCTGACACACTACCCTGAAAACCATTCATTTCAAGAGAAACCATTTATTTAATATGTGTTAATGATAAAGATGCATCCAATTACCTTCTTCATCATTATACCCTCAAGTTTACCATAGAAGGTCAAGTGATTTCAGAGCAGTCTACTTTGTTGAGGTGATTTTATATACATAAGCAACTTCCCATTTGCAGATTCAAAAATACCATGGGGAGGTCTGCCAGCAGTGGTTCTGTTTTACTTTAAATCCTTCTTAAGGTCTGTTATCAGTTTGCCCCAGATGCCTTTGTCTCTGTGTGAAGGTAGTGTGCCAGTGCTGTGTGTGTGAGTCTGTTTGTGTGTGCACTGGGATGTTAGTCTGTGTATTTCCTGCTGGTAAAGAGCCATCTTGGATGTTGCATGTGGATTCATGAATAAGGTCAGGTCAGGAAAAGGGATGTGAAAAGACGAGAGACATAGGAAGGAAATAGGAGCAAAGACCAGGAAAAGAAAGGGAGAGAATATTAAAGATAAATTACGATGGCGAGAGGAATGAAACAACAGAAGAAAGATCAGAACACAGAGATAGCTATAAGGGGAAAATAGGGAAGTGTGAAGGAGCGATACAAAGAAAGAAAGAAAGAAAGAAAGAAAGAAGAGAAGAATGAAGAGTGAAAGAGGCTGAAACTGGATGAAAAGACAGACACGGAGAGATGAAATGGGTGGAGGAAAAGAGGGAGAACAGCTTTGTAGAAGCGAATGGTAGAGGCTGATAAGACATGAAATACTTCACACTGGAGCCAAAGAGGCACACAGGACACTCTATGTAAGTCATTTAGCCAGCCAGTGTTCAAAAGAGGCACCTGACTGGACAATCATCTCACTGTCCCACCCTTCATCTGGCTGCCAATCAATCAATTCAGCTTTTTTAAAAGCCAGACTGTCACAAAAACGAGTCAGCCAACCATCGAGACATTTAATCAGCCCATGAGATGTCCTGAGAGGAGAGCCAGGCAGTCGTTTAGTCACAGCCTGTTTCAGTAAGTCAGTGGCCCAATCAGTTCATTCATTAAATAATTGCTGCAATTACAGTACATAATCATCTATCCAGTCTCATATTTGGCCAGTGAGTCAGCATGATTATCTCACAGCTATTCAGCATTAAAGAGGGGAAAGCAGTTCAGCCATCAGTCGACCAGTCAACCAGAGAGCAACTCAGATAGTCAGCCAGTATACCCAGTCTGCCAACTGGCATGTTACCAATGCAACCTGCCAGTTTAAAAGCATTACACAGACAGGTAACTTACCAACCAGCCAAAAATCAAACTGTTAAAAAGTTACTAAACCAACATACATATCATTTTTAAATTCCCCACAGTTTGGGCTGAACTTGTGGTATGTTCTTCCGAAGCCGACTTTCAGAAGCTTGCATATTTTGTCTTCTGTTTACATAATTTGACCTACTTTATACTACTTTTCATCAATAATGTACCCAATTAATATCAATGTCTCATCTGTAGCTCTGTGTTGGAGTTTCATGCATCCTGATGAGGAGCTGGAATAAGAACATGAACCTTTCATTTATTGACACACAGAGGGAGGAACTATAACAGGACTGTGCAGCAGTTCTTTTTGGCTCTCACTGTGTTTGAATTATCCCTCTATCATACAAAATTCACTCAATAAAAATTTGTTTTGATTACAAGTCGGAACGTTTGAAATAATTGAATACTAAGTTAACGCCAATTAAACATACAAATTGCAAATGGGGAATTATGTAAGCAGTAGTTAACTTATGCTGAAGTGTAATCAAGATTCTGTCATATCCTCAGGGGCTGCTCACAAGAACACCAAGTACTTAAAGGCAAATAGAAAAAATGCTTAACAAACAATCTCACTGATTTTGCTTCCCTGATACAGGATGTGTGAGTGTGTGCTATGTAATTTAGAACATGTTTATACATGTACTTCTTATAGTTTGCATGACAAATCCTGCATTTATCGAGGTTTTCAGAAGAAGCAAGTATCATGTCACACCAATTTAACTTAAAGGCTTCATATGCGATGTTTTGATCCAGCAGATGTCGCTCCTTGAGCACCAGCTTGAAACCAAAACAACTTGCGCTGCATTGTTGTGTTAGCATGCTAATGCTAGCGATCTTTATTATGCTCGTATCTTCACACTGCATGTAAATTTACCCGAAATGACCGTGACCTAGAAACACAGTTAAGCAGTGAGTACAGTATGTTATTCTTCTTTTCTCTAGTCCCTCAATTAAAAAACTTTTATACACGAGGGGATGAGTCAGCCAGCCGTCCTGGCGATGTAAACAAAGTGAAGATATGACTCAGAAAACTCGGAAAACATCACAGACAGTGGGACTCGGGTGTTACACCCATTGTAGACAGTCATTACTCACAGAGTTATTTTCAGAGGATATACTTGATTTCTATTAGCCTACATTTAAGTGTGAAAAATCACATTAAGTCTTTAAAGCAGAATGTTTTTTTCAAAGATGTATTTTTGGGCCACTTTTGTTAAATAAGAAAGCTTAAGATAGACATTTTGGGAAGAGAGAGTGGGGGATGACATGCAGCAGAGGGCCGAGGTCGGATTTCAAACCCAAGGCCGCTGCGATGCAGACCATTTCCTCTGTACATGGGTCACGCAACATACTCGCTAGGCCATACGGTGCCCAAAAGCTGTATTTTTAATTACAGTTGTGCTAAGGTACATGTTCTCATATATATATAAAAAAAATCATTACAATGCTAGTGTGAGAGTTAAATAATGCAGGAGTTGAAACTTTTATATTGTGAAGCATGGGGGTCTCTAGTGCTGGAGACAAACGCCCCTAGTGTTGAATACCTTTCAATTCAGGTGTAGAGCTCTCAGAGGAGTTAAAATGCTGTGGAGGAAAGATGGCCCAGTAAGCATGACTGAGTAGATTTACAGAGCGACAAAGCAGAAAGATGAAGCTTGAGTATCAAGAGAGTTGTATGGAAAGGTGAGGGCAGCACAAGGACCTGCCCATGTATCCCTCCCCTATTCACCTTGTCCCCAAATTACAGGGAAAAACTTTGAAAATATAGAAAGGAAATATTCAGTTTGGTGTACGTCTATCAGTTTGTGCTCCCAAGTTTACCAGAGAGAGAAGAGATGATTGTTGTTTCTTCCAAAGAAGAGCAAAGAATTTGAATTAACAGGCCTGTCTGATGGTCTGCTGATTTTGTGCGGCCAGATGTCAAAATCTGACAGCGGGTACAGAAATCCCTCGCAGAGCTTGTATCCAATTGTGGCTTATGTCATGTGGAAGACAGAAGCACGGTGAGCAAGGCGGCCCAGTTCCACACAGGCTCAAAACATGGCACTCATTAATCTCCTTTCCATCCGTGCAGCCCCTCTTTGTATCAATGCAGGGAACCCATCTTTATACAAAATAAACACCTTTTCAAACAACACAGACAAAAAAAAACAGACAAAAAAGAGTATTTGTATAAAGTTTTAGAGACACTCAGTCTATCAGTCTGTCTGTCCCCTCTCTCTTCCGAGGGGGTGCGACTCAGGTAACTCTGTTTCAGTCTGTTGCTCTGCCTGCAGACCCCCGCATCAGTGTCGCAGCAGAGGCTTCCTCATCATCAGAGGCTGCAAAGAGGAGGAGGCGGCTGAGCTAACGTTAGCCAAGGCCTGCTGAGGTCACCATCCACAGAGAAATATGCGGGTGGGGGAGGGCATGGTGGTACAAAGGAAGGATTGAAAGACACAGTGACAGAGACAAGACAGAGAGAGGGGATACTCGTGTTGGAAATAGTCAGACAACAGGGCAGACAGACATGGGTGGGAAGAAATAGGGAGGGCGGCACACATGGGAATGATGCAGTAATGCCGAACTCTGTTCTGCACACTCTCATCTCTTTTTACAACCACACAAAATGAATGTGATTAGTAAAATCGAGCCAAATAGACATTTCAAACACTTTGTATTAACACCGTACACATATGTTCTAAACAGGGGTATTTTACAGAAAACAATTTGCTCTTTCATTTATATGAATTGTGTTGCTGTTTTTATGTACTTGTATTGGGCCTCCGTGTAGGCACCACACAACATGCTGCACTGAGGTTCAACACATCGCCTGTGGAAGTGTGCACGCTTGGAGGAGGGGCTGTCACTGGGGACATTTAGTCTGGCTGAATTCATTTCTCTGAACTCTTCCTGCAGCATGTGCTTAGTACCACGTCTGGCCACTTGAGGCACTGTAGACTTTCACTGTACTGTCAAATCAACATCTGAGTACAGTTGTCCATTCATAGGTATTTATATGAGCTCTAAAGGCACAACTAAAGATATTTTGGTCATACTCAGGAGTTTTCTGAATGAAAGAATGAAGCTTGAAGTAAGATGCTGACTTGCCAAAAGCTCAAGCATCTGTGGCTTGTTTTATCTCTGGGCTGAAATTAGTCCTTTGAGTTGCTTTCACTTGCATCATTTCGCATGCCCAATTGAATTAGACTGATTGCATTTACAGGAAGGGGATGGCCACCATAAAAAGGCTGCAGATGGGTGAAATGAAATCAAATGTAAGCAGAGGATGTGCACAAATCCAGCGATTAGCCCTCCGTGTTTGTCGAAGAAAGACGAATAATTAGACCAGGCTGAAGACCGGTGTCTACATGGAAGCCATTAGAAGAGACTGGACTGGGGTCACCTCTAAATAGTGATCTCAGGTCAGCTTTAGATTTTCCTGCTAATGAAACATTAGTGCAATCTTCTAGCTGGACAAGTGCCACTTCCTCCTGGCTGTGCTCCGCGTGCTCACTGCAGTTTGTGCAGATCACACAACTCTAACCTGAAAATCTGCTACACAACAACCCCTTGCTGTACTTAATAACCTTGTTCTCTGAGACTAAATGTATCATACAAGACCACACAGGGATGTAAAATCTTACAATCAAACCTTAGCTCTGTCTATGATCTGTACAGTAATTATTCTGTGTGGAAGACAGACTTGCAGGCCCTGAAAAATGTTTGCTATGGGATGTATTTCTATGGCTAATAACCAAGGATGGATGATTGCATTCAAATATTGGCATATTGGTTAAATCTGCAACCAGTCCAGCCAAACCACATTAACTTTAAACACAGTATTTTACCTGAACCAAGAATGTTTCCAAAACATGCCCATAATGTCCTTTTTTTTTTTTCTTCAGATCTAATTTTATTCACCTTCTGTACACCTAATGTGTCATTTGGTTTACCCCATTTTAAGTCTCTATAAACAAGTGCTACATAAGTTAAAAAAAGATTTGAGCTCGGAAATCAGGTGACCGCAAGCTTTTGACTTTTGGTGAATGGAGGGGTTGTGGAAGTAAACTCTAAATTTCAGCTTTTGGAGGAAAGCCTCATTCAAAACCCCATAACCCCAATCTCGGCAGAAAAGAAAGGAGTCTGAGGGTACATTACCATGATGGTCGTCACGACTACCGTCCGGTTCTCCATAGCTGTGCTGTCATTGGATAGAGTACTTTCAGTCTGGACCAACACAAGTTTGTCTATGTCGTTCCAGTAGCCAATCTGAAGTAAACAGATGAAGACAGATGTTAGAAGAAGATAAAAAAAACATCCAAGAAAAAAGTATCATCCATTCAATCCATCTTTATGGAGCAATTTGTGCAAAAAAAATAAAACATAAAATGCTTACAATAAAAACAAGACAGACATGACACAAATAAATGGTGAAAACAGTGGAACCTGTGTGAAATAAGGTTAAAAGAAAAGAATGATAAGAAAAATTCAACTGAACGAGTTCACTCCTGCAGATTTCCCAAAGGAACACTACAAGATGTTGAGAGATATTGAGTTTGAGCCAAGAACTTTCAATAAACACACATTGCTGTCCAAGGAACACTTGAGAAGCAGGAGCATGGTGTTATTTCTTTGTTATAGTTGCTACATATTTCCTTTTATTTCCAGTATTGAGAAATGATGACTTTTTCCAACCTTCTCTTCGCTATCATAAGGAAGGATTATGTTCAGTCTTTCTCGTGTACAGTTTTATGTTCCCTAGGTTATGTGGGAGGTTCTCTCAAATGTACACTCAGAAAAGCTGTTAAGGCATTATTATTATTATCAAAAGCTACTACTACTGCAGTAAGACAGTTAATAATCAACGATTATGAAGGTAATTATGCTGTAAAAGAATTCATTTCTTGAATGGTCATTCATCAAGAGGGATGAAAGAAGAAAAATGCAGCAGCAGCCAATGAAAGGAATTATCCTTGAATAATAACAGAGAGCTCATGTCCTCTTAAAAGAGGCCTGCCAATACAGAGACTGAATGTGATAAGATTTGTCTATGTCTATGTCATGATGCAAACCTACCTTGCGTGGTCCGTTGCTCTTCAGTTCAAACACGTCCATAGTGTAGTTGACCCTCCGACCATAGTGATCAAACTGAATATTCCCCGTCAGGCCTTGAATGCGCACCTGAGTTGACAGCGACAAATACAGTCAGGACTTGGGAAACAATCAAAACGAAACACTACTCAAAGTTACACTTGCTAGTTTTAAGTCTTCCATATTTCATTGAACAGTTGCTGGGGCCTTTATAAACATCAGTTGAATAATATACCAGACTATTTTTTTGTTTAAAGCACACTTGTATAAGAGGCTCTTATCTCTCATTTGCTCAGTTTAATTATAATACTCACTCATTCGCAAACTTAAAACTTATTGTATTGCTTTAAATAAAAATTCCCTCTGATGACTTTAGATGGACAACAGAAACATTTGAGTACATGATTTGGAAAACTCTTTCATAGATCCAATGTACCACGTCAAATCTAGGTATTGCTGTCTTTGTGACACTTGATTATCTCTATAAGATACAGTTCTGCATATATTGAGTATTTGCCAAAAACATGATTTTATTGTTATATTTAGTAAATTAAAGCAATGTAACTGAATACTTCTGTATATTTAGTTGACATGTATCTACTCATGTTTCCCCCCAGACTGTAATTGGGACAGGCTTTTACTTTTTGTTGGCCATGTTTAAAGTCATTCAAGACTGCATCTTATGAGTTACCAACTAATACTATACTTGAGAATATGCAGCAGGTCTTTTTGGTTGGATGCTTGAATGTTTGTCTGCCTCCATAAGAGGTAGTAATGTTTTCTCACCATCATGGTATAGCTCTGTTTTGCTGTTTTCTGTGTGATATTGTTAAAAATGGAATGGAAAGCCACAGAAAACAACAATGAGAACAGAAACTTTTCAGATAAGAAAAGCTTAAAGTTAGGGTAAGATGTGGAGTAAGACATATAGCATCCATTGTAAATGTTAAGATAGGTACCTTATAAGTTAATGGAAATAATTTCAGTGTCCCCAAAAATGTAGAAATATAAGTTTGCGTTTTACGTTAAGTGTATAATGACTCTAGTTCATATACTTCATCTGAGTCCCAAAAGAATTTTAAATGTCAGCATTGATTTATTCTGGAACATTTTCTCCTTTTTCATCCCAGATGTTTCACTGACTCTGTTTGTGTTTGTGCTTGTGTTTCTGTGCGTGTATCTATCTGTGAACATCTGTCTAAGCATTTGTCAATCTGTCTGTTCTAAACTATACAACATCGGACTTGTGCCAACCTGTTTGAGAGCACGCTCCATATCTATTCCTTGGTTCCAGGGAGCAGCTGGATTGGCAAGGCAGTCCCCAGCGTTACCACGACGACTAATATCAATTTTCTGGCGCCGAAGGGTGCGGAAGGCCTCGGCCATTACAAGGACGCCATCATATGTTAGAGACGAGGTATACTGCAGAATGGAAGAGAAAAAAAGAAAGAAAGAGAATTTTTGCACATTTTTAAACTGGGTTTGACAGATAAATAAATAATTATTGGTTCTTCTACAGTAATCCCAACTAATCCTGTCTAACCAGCAACTCTAAGGTACTGCCAACATTTGAAATAAGGAAGATATGATAAAAAGTTTCCTGTAAGAATCAAATGAAAACTTGATTTCACTTTCCTGGGCTTGGCTTGTTTTGTTTGCTCAGATAGATATGAGGTGTGTTAACCTTTAATCTTAAATTATCAACCAAATATCCCCATTTAGAGGCTGATACCGTAAAATTAGTCTTCAACAGGGAACACAGGTATTTCAGTTTAGTCATTGTAAAGCAAAAGCTGCACTGAATTCTTCTAGAGTGTTTAATAAACTTAAATTATTAGAAGGACTTGATGTCTGTAAACAGTGTCTGAATAGTTGCCATCTGCAAAGTAGAATATTCTGAAGTGAGAGAGCTATACCGGAAACCCTATCAGAGTTATTTCTAAAATGGGAACCAATTTAATCCCAGACAACAACTGTTACACTGTACCAGCCTGCCTTATCTTCATTTGAACCATCCTTATGCAAACATGCTGAACTGTGCCTCGAGCCATCCCACCACACTGACTTTTATTTGACTTCCACCATTGACACTGGTTAAAACATCAATCAACAGCACTGTAAATGTAACATCAGTGTAAATATGCCAGTTTGAGACAGGCTTGTCGTTTTCAAATACAGTCATTGAGCCCTTAAAACAACATTAAAACAATGTAAATCATTTTGTAGATCTGAGTTATTACAACAACAGTGTTTTGGATTTTCCTTTAGGTTCCAAGGACTTATTAGTGCTTTCATTTGGTTATTTTTATAAAACTGGCAACACACTTTATTTGAGAACTTGAGTAAATTACAAAACTTACCAACTGCAAGTGAGAAAAAGAGAAAGAGATTATCTGTCTAAGGAAACTCTTAAAATCCTGACAATCCCGACAGATTATTTGACAAATTAATTATAGGTAAGACTCAGCGCAGCAGGAAACAGCAGCGCACACTCGACTGCAACAAACCCACCCAGCTCACACACAGCGCTACGCAGACTGAGGCAGTCAAACACACAGCAGGCTGCCTTCACATCACCGTGGAGACAAGCAGAGAGATGAAATAGGAGGAAAGAGGGAAGTCAGTAGACAGACTCTGCCGTATACTCTCCACGCCACTGCAGGTAGTTTTTTTCCCTCACTCTGACACCCAGTGATTTGGATCGCAAAAGACGAGTTTTGGGAGGCTGAACAACCATGTCATCCTCCTTTCATCTCTTCTCTTGGAAACTAAAAACGCCTTAAGGTTTGCAACTATGATGGCGACGATTGAATCCAAATCAAGGAGAAATAGTCAACGAAAGTGAAGCAACTAGCGTAACAGTTCTCTGTCTCTGTCAGAGGGAAGAAAGAAAAAAAAAAACCTTGGAGACGCATACAAAGCAGTATAGTGGCTTTTATGAACTTCAAACTGCGGAACATGTTTAAAGGATCAGTTCAGATTAAGTTGAAATAAAACTTAACAAATTAGGAAACTTAAAATCTGAACCTCAGATAAAACATATATCCTATATTAAGTTTGTATTTCCATGTTGGACCAAAAAGCTGGTTTATAAATGATGCATGTATTAAAATAAAATATCTAGTATGATCCACAAAGAAAGTAGTGTTAATTAAATTGTACCTGGAATAGTATACATAAATTATTCCCCCTCAAGGTATTGTGTAACAACTCTTTTAAACACTCTTTTAGTCTTTGCAGGTCTTGACATGAATACTTTGAATACTTAAATTCTATTCAGTTTCATCTCACTTTGGCATAGATGTTAATTAGCTGTTAGCAGTTAGTGTTAACATGCTAACACGCTAAGCTAAGGCACTGACAAAAGTAATAAACTGGCTAACTCTAACAGTTAGCGTAAACCGCTGCTCTGCAATCATACAAAAGGACCTTAAACATATTCTGTATCCTAAACATATCAACTTATTGTTAAATATAGGCTCTGTATCTTGGATATTTCCTTCTACATTGAAGATTAATGTGAGGCCATTTGAGGAGAATGCAAGTGTAACACTAAGAAAGAAAATGTCTGGTATGTTTCTAAAAGTTCAAGAGGGGGCCTGTCAACATGGACAACAGTGCAAGGGGCTCATACATGAATGCAGCTTAAAAGGTTGCTAATCTTTTCAGTGATTTAGAGATTTAGAGAAAAGACACAAATCTGTTTCTGCTTTTTATGCTATTTAAATAATCTCAGCGTAGACTGTACAACAGGGAACTTCATCTAAAGGAGGCAGGGTTAATGACTCAGTGATAACACAAAGTTTATTCTTGTTTTGTCATCAAATGAGATGAGAAACTGAAAGAAAGACAAGAAAGTAGCCTTAAATCCGTATTGAATAAAATACTTAGTTTATAAAATGAGGTCTCCATCAGTGTCATCAAACACTAACACATTGAGGAACATTGACTTAGTCAACCATTTTATCTTTGGAATATGCTAACTCAGTTATTTTATACCTACAGGCATTCATATTCCCATCAAGTACTTAGTGAAAAAAGTGTAAAAAAAATAAATGTATAAATCACCCGAGAGGCTATACCTGGAGAACATATGGGTGATCCAAAGCATTATGGCAGAATTTGGATGATGTTAATATATTACTTCTCCAGGTCACTGATCATTTTCATTACATTCCAACAAAAACTGGAGGCAAAGCAGCTGAGAGTTACTGGTTTAAGAGATTTTGATTAATGGCTAAAAGCAGCAAACTGAAAATCCAGTCTCAAGAGCGGAAAGGACAATCCCCGATAGTGCTTTTCACCCACACGTTATTAGACCAGAGTTCTGCTTGGCCTGAGGCTACGAGCTGGCCCAAAGCTGACTGAACTCTGTTTTTTTCTTTTTGTTACACAGCACCAATTAGCCTGGAGCAATTTGGAGGCATCTGTTGCCACAAGAGATATCTAGTTTTGTTGTATTGTGTTGAACATTTCAAATTGTGTGTCCTTGTTAGCCAAAGGCAGAGGTTAAACTCCAGATGTCAAAAATATCATAAAAAAAATGTTAATGAAGTTTTGTAGACATGTCTAGCTTCATTCTTTTGTATCTAAACATGTTCTTTGTGTCGATCTGTCACACACATGCATTATACATTTTCCTCCATTAACACATTAACATTTCTGTGAAAGACAAGAGTCAATTGATGCAGCTGACATCCACTAATGAGAATTCATCAGGTCAATCTGAGGACGATGATGAGCCAATTAATTTGGTCCTTGGGTGACAAATGATGCTCCAATAGTGAAGGAAATCACCTTCAACATATAAATGCAGCCCTGAAAACCTCCGACACACAGCAGGGCCTCTCTGTAGATACTACCCCATGCCTGTGAGTGTGAACCAAAGAGCAAGGGGACACAATGCTGCAGTATTATGTATATTTAATAGGTAGGTGGACATATTTCTAGTTAATATATACACCGATCAAACGCAATTGGCTGCAGGTCGGCATGCGGTCAATAGAGGTGTGAGGAGGAGGGAGGAGAGAAGGACACTGATAGAGACAGACGGGGAAAAGGGGGAGTAGTAGAGACTAAAAAAACACAAATGTTTGTGACTGAAAGGGACATTGGCAGAGAGAGGAAGAAAACACGATTTCAAGAATGGTGAGTAGACAAGGGGGAAGAATTATACAAGGTGAGGTAACCAGACACTTTTATAAGGAATGTAATTGCAGATTTGCTCACAGAACAGGAATAAAGGGGGGCAGGGGGGACTTTAGTTTGACAAAGGGAGATAACATGGAAGATCATGCAGGTCAGACCATGAGAAAAGAAATTTGGACCCAAGAATTTGCCTCATATTATCTTTGACACATAAAAACAGAGTCAGAGAAGACTGTATGTATTCAATCATAGTATGATTAGGCAATTATCCTCTTTAACACCCATAGGTCACACTCTGATTGGCTAAGACCCTGCACCAAATGCACTATGCCATACTTTGAACAGGTCAAATGCAGCACATCATCCTTACAGTACCTGTATGAATCCTCAATATCTTTGGTTTCTATGAAGAACTTAGGGCACAATTTGCACACCAATGTTCAAGGTTTGTGTGTGCACACTGCATAATATGCATGTCGATACACACATGGTGTACCTTTATAGTGAAAACATCATCAAGTAGCATGAAGTAAAGTAAATAAATAGTGATTCCTCAATTAAGAAGTCACAATAAAATTGGGATGTTTAAATAAATACTGAAAACCTTAAGAAACTGTAGTGCTTTAGCCCCTTTCACACATTGAGTCTTCGCCTGAAAATGTCCTGACATTGCCAGCCCCACTGTAAAGAGTCTGCATGACTCACTCACTTTTGCTTTGGTAACGCAAATACGTCCTTATACATGTTGTGTATAAACAACATGGACCAGATGGGTTATATCCAGGAGTGAGAATGTGTTGTGACATGCACACTCTCCAAATAAAATGCGCAAATGCAAAAAGGGAAAGCCCAGAAATTGTCAGGACCTGATCGTCTGAAAATTGTCTTGAAATCTTAGAGAGTTCTGGAGTTGTGATAGGGGCTTTTTATACGTACGAGTGATACGGTACAGGACAGAATATTGTCATCACCTTAGGTGGGCTTTCAGATCCGGGGTACTCTCTCTGATCCAGTTTGTTCCAGCGTTGCATCAATTTAATAACGATAGCTCTGCTGAAGTCCACCAGCTGGAAACCAGTCACATTGGCTCCGCCGTGCATGAACCTCTCCAGAGATATGTCCTTAAAACCCTGTGACAGTGACAGACAAAGGTAGAAAGACGGAAAAGAAAAGGTCAAAGGAGGCTACAAGTGTTGGAACACATTCCAAACCGGTCACAAGAAAAGTCAAATCTGACTACAAAGCCCTCTGACGGACTGTGCGCTGACGAATCCCTCTCCACATTCCTCAACAGTTTACCTGATTATTTATAACTACACTTGATATGGAGTGGCTTCCACAGCTGCGAGTGTGACTTTTATGCAGAGTGACACTTTGTAGTGAAGTGTTGGTGGAGTGGAATCCATTTGGGAACAGGCCAGAGACAGAGGCAGAGCGTGCAGACATGTGAGGGTTATCCTGGGTTGATGGATGCTAATTGCTGAAAGCTCTAAAAGCCTATCTAACTTGACCCACGCTCACAAGCCCCTCTTTCACCATCCCAGAGAGACTTTCATGGGAACAGATTTGGGGATTAAGGTTAAAACAATATGAAATTTACAGATATGTATTTGGGCAGCTGCCATGGAACTCCTGCTATGTCCAGATTGGTAATTATTTACTTTAGTAGGATTATTTTTTTTCTAAATCATTATAAGAATCAGAATCAGAAATACTTTATTAATCCCAGGGGAAATTTCGGTGTTACCATTGCTCTTCACACAATACAGCAGTAGGAAATACAATAGAAAAGAGATAATAAAATAAGCAATAAAATAAGCAATGGAACTGGCAAGCATAGCGTTTTTTTTATTTATAACTCCACAAAAAGAACATCTTGGGGACAAGCTACGTAAATGTCGTTGCAAGGTTTTGTAAAACATGTCTCGTTATGTTGGCCTAAAAGATGTGGACAATGATTGTCATGGCTGACTTTTAAAGACCTTATCCCAGACATTTTGTTTTTGTGTGTCTGTTTGAATCACAATGTCCTCTGTGGTCTCCCTTGCATATGAAAAAAAGAAAGGATCCACAGTCAGATGTCCTAAACAAGACTTAAGACTTACTCTGTAATTAAAATGTCTCAAATTAACCACCAAAGTCATTCCCTTTCAGATGTCTTACCAGGTTTGCTATGATGTAATGGTAACCTTTTACATGTTTTCCCACGCTGACAGCCTGAAAAGAAAGAACACGAAGAGACAAAGATTAATGTTAAAATAGTGTAAGGGTGCAGGGCAAGGTGGTGTGGGGACTTTGCCTAACAGGGATTCTGGATAACTTTAGCATTTTGCATAAAATGTCAACTGATCAAAGGCAGAAGACATTTCTTTGTAGACAATATGCAATGGTCAAGGCCAGATTTTATAATTAATATGAAATGATAAGTATTTTTTTATTATTATTTAAGCTTTCCCTTCAAGATCAACCCATAGCACCTAAAGCCTTGTTAACTTGGGCCGACACCTCAGCTTCTTTTCTTTTCCACACCAAATAAGCTCAATACCCCGAAGCTTTGTGTAAAACGTATCACTGATGATCTGTCTGCTATGTTTGTGAGATTGTATGGCTGATGGTTAAAGCATTGTTGCAAGGTCAATATTGTTATCTCACATCAACTTGTTGTTATGTTAATATATGTAAAGAGGGATTAAGATACTTGTGTTGAAATCTCATAATGTGAGATTTTGATGCATGAGAGTCTTCATTGTTGAAGTGGTGCATCAACTTTATTAATAAATCACACACACACAAACACACACACACACACACACACACACACACACACACACAGATCGCAGCTGGCGAGGGCAGACAAACAGAGCAGTCAGTGTCTCAGAGCAGGGATGCTGGCCAGTGCCAGCACTGCAGAGCCCACTGTGACGGGAGTGTGTGTTTGTGTCTCAGTGTCTGAGTAGAGTGTGTGTGTGTGTGTGTGTGTGTGTGTGTGTGTGTGTGTGTGTGTGTGTGTGTGTGTGTGTGTGTGTGTGTGTGTGTGTGTCTGTTAAAAAAACCAAAGAAGCCAATTAAGAAACTGTCAGCATGTCTGCCTGGTACATAGATTTTAGTGCATGTTTACTGTGCGTGTGCAGAACTATCAAATGTGTCTTCAAATACAAGTATGTCTGTTTGCTTAAAGCTTACATTATGCACTTATACGTGGGGGTTGAGGTGGTATTTATGTGCGGTTTTGTGTGTGTGTCTGTTAGCGTTGTGTGTCACTGAGTTTGTCAGATGTGAAGACAGATGATCAGATGTGATGACAGGTGGCAGAACCAATGGGATGTTTCTCTGAAACCTAAGTCAGAGGGCACACAGGCACACACTCTATCTCTTTTTTTTCTTTCTCATACACACAAATATACACACAAACACACACACACAAACATCTGCGCCACCTGTCAGTGCTCAACCGTGAGGCAAGACAGATAATCTAATGAATTTGGACAAGCATAAGGTGTCAGAATGTGTGCCTTCATATATTGTATGTCTTTGTGTCTGTTTGTGTGTGTGTGTGTGTGTGTGTGTGTGTGTGTGTGTGTGTGTGTGTGTGTGTGTGTGTGTGTGTGTGGTGTGTGTGTGACAGTGAGGAGATCATACACTGATGTAGCCTGCTGGGGAAGTCATATTTCTCACTTCTCTGAACTCCAGAGAAAAGCTCAAATCTAGTTTACTTTCCAGATGTCAAAAGGAGAACTGTTTTGACGGACACCTCTAATATAGTTAAAAAAACAATAATATATATTTAGTAATTTATACTCTTTCAAATAATTATTGCACTCATAACTTTACAAAACTAAATGTTTTCCTTCTTACAGCTTCGCCCCGGTGGACTAAGCAGAACCACTACTGATCTTGTCCTGTACATGTGTACATTTTTACTAAGGAAAAATCGCATCTTTCTGAAAGTAATCAATCTTCTTCCTGATGGTCTAATTTTGTTTTTAGGGGGGTTTGGACTGAGGTATCATGATTAATTTCAGTCCGTTTCATGCAGCTAAAAACTTCTCACAGGAGCTTTGATTCAGTTTTATTGGGGCAATAAGATGTCATTGTGTGGTAGTTGTACCTCATTATTTATAGTTAAGTGCTGTTGAGTCCAGTGCAGCGATGTAATCTTTGCCCTGTTCATAGTAATCTAATTGATTTTAAGGGTGCATAAAAATATTGTGTGGCCTCCACTCAAACAGTATCTCATGATCTCATTTGTTTCAGGGTCCTTCGGGTTCAAAATTAGTGTCAGATATTTTATTTTAACCTTTCAATGTCCTCTATCTTAGGACTTTACTGTGTCATTATTGGCAGACAGAAATACCAAGATAGTACTTTCTATTATTAATAATACTTACTTATAAGTTAATCATGTTTTTTTCAGGCTGAATACAATGAACTCAACGCCTTGATATATTGTGGCTTTACATGTCTGATTTCTTTGCTGATCTCAATACCACAGTTGTAACACTGTGTTCTGCATAGTAAGCATTATACTAATGTTACCTGTTCGAGGATGTTTTGTAGTCTCTCAGGCTCAAGGTCAATGACATATTTCCTCTCCTGGCGTCTGTCCAGGTCTTCTAAAAGTCGTCGGTACGCTGCCTCATTGAAACTCTCGACACAGATAGCGCTCACCTGAGTTAACATACATGCATATGTTAACAAGAATGTACAGTATATATGAATACAAACACAGCGCAAGTAAGAATAAGGTCATGCATACAAACAACAAGCAAGATAAGAGGTGTAAAAACATTGGTGTAATTATATGCATATTCTGTGTGTGTGTGTGCGCATGTTTTTATCGGCCTGTTTCAATTCAACAAGTGTGTGTTTGTGTGTGTGTGCATGTGTCTGTGTGTGTGCTCTGACCTGCCATCCGTTCTGCCCTGCTCTCTCCATAATTGCCTGCAGTATTGCATAACCTGCACAACAGAAAGGAAAGTAGAGAAACAGAGAATTAATTTGGTAGTAGGTAGAAGCTGCACTCCGGACACAGAAAAGTAATAGCCTGCACTGCAGATTTTTGCAGACAAAACTTCAAGGCAAAAATTCACACCTAGTTGCAATATCTTTAAAGGTCACATATTATGCAAAACACACTTTACCATGGATTTCGTACACTCCCTGGCCTGTCGACAAACCCCCCAGTTATGAGAAAAGTACGTCCTCTCTGTCTGCCTCCTCAACTTTTTCAGAAAATGTGTGCTCAAACAGGCTGTTTGGAGTTTTTCCCTTTGTGACATCACAAAGGGTAGTAACCCCTCCCCCAGGTAGGTGACACTCACACAGCTAGGTGTTTTTTGTGCCCTCTGAGTCTGCCTTCTCACTGTCAAAAAAAGGGCAGGGTGCAAGAAAGCTCAAGGCACCAAAGGCCTTCAAGAGAGGGGCGTGGTCGAACACAGCTCATTCGCATTTAAAGCTATAGACTCAAAAACAGCCTGTTCTGAGCCGGGCTGACAGGGGGTTTATTGGCATGCTAAAATACAAGATCAGAGTGGATTTTGAGTAATAAACTTTCGAAACATGTTTGGGACTTATTTCAACTTGTTGAAAAGGAGGATAACACGCAACCTTTAACAGCAAGTTCATTTCTGGGTCTACATCACTTTTCAGTGGATTCATCAGCCCATCTCACTTTACCAAATGAACACTGTTGCAATGTGTTCAAATGTGAAGGAAAAAAAAACACTCAGCACCTTAGCAGTCATGTCTTGAATTCCACTTTATCAAACAAACCCACAGAGCTTAGCAGGACAAAGACTTATGTGACACAACAATAGAGACTGTCAGTTTCATTTTGAGAGAAACTGTTGATAGTGACGTTTCATTGAAATTAAACTTGCCATTGCTCCTAGTTCAGCTGCAAATTTGTGATTGAAATGTAAGTCACCTGAGAAACACAGTGCCACTTATCAATTTTATAGCCTGGAACAAAACACTGTGTTCTTTTTCTCCATCCTGATGGAGCACAGTGTTGAACAGGGTGATTGTGCCTCTCGGCGTGATACTAGATGAGTTTCAAAGTTATTATGAGTAGCAGGTGGCGACACCAGTAACAATGCATTATAGAATATATCACAGTGTGTTACATTGAAAAGCTTAAGAGGGGTCAATAAAGCAGGAAAATATCAATAATAACTTCATATCACTAAAGGAATCCTGCAGAGAATTGGTTTTCAAGTAAATATACTTTATCATGAGGATTATTTGAATCTCTATCACATTGGTTCCCAACCTGGGGCCACTTCGGTCTGCCCTGAGTTTTTCAAAATTGGATTTGAACACATGAAATAAAATCATGTTAAAACATCAATGGGACATTTGTACAAAGGTCTTTTGTTAATAAGTGTGTAGGCATATTCTATTAACGGATTTTATCAATGAAAACTATTCACATTCATATTAATTATTGAAATCAATTCATCACTTTTATCAATGTGGGAACAGGGGGGCTCGGCTTTTCTTAAATACAAGTGGGGGGGGGCTTACATACATACATGTGTGTGAGAGAAGCATGTGTCTTGTGTGTGTGCGCGTGTGTGTGTGTGTGTGTGCGTGTGCGTGTGCGTGTGTGTGTGTGTGTGTGTGTATGTGTGTTTGTGTGTTTGTGTGATTTGCTTGTATCATCTAACTCAGATTTATGTAATGCATGCACAGATACACATACTGTAATTTTGTGCATGTCTTGTTACATGCTTGTATGCATTTTTCCCTATGGACATACCTCATTTTAAGTGTGTGTGTGTATGTGTGTGTGTCGGCAGGCTGTCTGTGTAGCCGACCAGAGCAGAGAGCATAAAACAGATAACAGCGTTACTGCCCATTTTCCGGCACATTACCGTCAGCAGGGCCTGATGGGAGCTCATAATGAAGGGCCCTGCCTCGGCCAAGTCAAGGGTGAACACGGCCCAAACTCTCACATCTATCCACCGCTTCATTTCCCCCTCTTTCCTTTCCTTCCTCACCTTACTCTCTCCTGCCTTTTACCTCCTCCTGCTTCTTATGTATGCGCCTGTATATCCATAGAGGCTTATGATCATGTCTATACTCTGTTTCTCCGTAATCTCCCCCCCTTGCTTCCCTTCACCGCCTCCAATCTACCTGCGCTTCCTCTCTTTTCCCCTCATCTCCTTGTTTGTCTCCTTCTCCCTTTTTTTTATCCAACCTGTCTCTTTTGCTCTTTCTTCAGCTGCTCCACCAGCTCTATACTCACCTCGTCTGTCTCTCCAGCAAACCCTTCTTCCCTCCTCTTTCTCCCTCTGCTCCCTGGGTACTTACTCAGAAAACCTGCACCAGGGTAATGCCACTCACAAAGTCATACTCATACACTTAGACTGTGCTGCTCACTGAATCCCTAACATGCTTCTACACCAGGGGTCGTCCAATGAAAATTCAACAGGGTCTGGCTGAAGAAACACTCCTCAAGGCAAAGTCTGGATCATAATAATGTCGGACTTGTGATATGATTTAATGCCATATATTTTAAAGGAGCCTAGTATTTGTATTATTGTTTGTGGTTGGAAACAACTTCATGTCAAATCAAATGAAGAAAGTTAAATTCAGTGGTAATACATCCGCTATTATGAACTGGAAAGTACTCTGATAATAAAATAATAATGCTCCTTACAAAATATTAAAATAAACAGTTTCTTCTTTAAAGTAAAAGTTTTTTTTTATTATTTAAAAACAGAAAGAGCTGCTCTTGAGTGTATTAAAATAAAAAGGCTTCACTTTGGAAAAAATTAAATATGTTCGAGTTTCAATTTAATGATAAACAATCTTAAAATTTCACATCAAAGAATTAATAGCTTTAACCCCTGCTCATCTTTCCCTCTTATATTTTATCCCACTCTCACACTTTCTCTCTTGTATAGTGAGAGAAATGAGCTTCAGCTTACCCTGTCAAAACTTTCAAATCTGAGCTGAATTTGAGTCAGGGCCAATTTTGTGTCAGTGAAAGGATTTCTGTGTTGACCTCAAAACCAAGCAAGTTGTTGGTCAGTGAATCGTTGTGCAGGATTATGGTGGATTGGTCATACCAGACTCTAAGTTCATTTATTTCCCTGTCCTCAGATCAGATGTGAGTTGGTTTGATTGCTCAAACGTTGTCTGCTTTGTGTCCGAATGATGTTTGACATCAGGATTGAATGATCCTGAGCGTTAAATACGAGGCATAGTGGTTTTAAACTGCCTGAAGGGAGAACAAACATAGAAGAATCCATCCATTCTGGTTTAATAGCTTTTTTTTCCCCCTGACTTCTTTTCACAAACTCTCTGCCCACTGAATACTCTGTGTGTAAATGTATGAGCACATACCCATCGTGTTCACTCGCAATGCATGATCGGCTTAGTAGTGTCACGTGTGCTGATTTTGGAGAAATGCATTGGTCTGTGACAAGCAGCAACCTTTGGTGTTGAAAAGTGAAGCCAATACATACAGTGCAAAAACCTGAAGTTCATGAGTGTCCTCTTGAGGCTGGCTGCAGAAGCCCCAAAGTCACATACACACACATTCAAAAAAAGCCTGTTTTTACAGCAGAAGTAATCCTGCTTACAGCCTGGTTTGTAACAAGAGTTTGGTCTAAATAGCTAATTTCTTTGACGGCACATACTGTACGCCATCCTCCATGGTGATTTCATGAAGGATAAGGATTATTGATAATAAGGCGCATGGTTGACCTGACTGATGTGTGAGCACGGTGTAGGAGGCTTAAGACCGGCCTCAACTCCAGCTCATTGCATGTCGTTAGGGTGAACGAAAAATTGGTTTGAGACGCAATTTCCAATATGGTGACTGCCATAGTTGGGCTTCTGAGACCCTACTTAATTAACAAATGAGTGTCGTCACTCAGGCTTTGTCCATGTTAATTTAAAGTCTATGGTCTGTGACCTCCCTGAAATCGCTACCATAAAGGCAAGAAGAGCTGCGCCATTTAAATAGACTACCAAAGCATCAAAGGCTGCACTGTATGAAATAGAAGCAGTCATCACAATAAACCTGGGTCGGGATAGGACGGCACCTTGGTACAGTGCCTGGGTCCAAACAGCCATAACCAAATTTGGTGATGGACCTTTTATGTATACCATTGTCTGGGGACTTTGTGTCATAGTTTGGCCTGTGATTTCTCTCCCTGTGGCAGGGAATTAGTGTGTGTGTTTGTTAGGCACAGAGGAGAGAGAGATACCGTTCCGAGCATTCCTGTGACAGTGGTCATGGGGCTGAAGGTATCAGCTGTGCCTCCTCCACTTACTTTTGTGCACTGCATGATGGGACAGTTCAATTAAAAGCATGTGAATACTGCCAGAGTTGATGCCATACCCTGGCTGAAAAGTGTCAAATTAGCCCCCCGTGTCTGCAGCTGTATCTATTCATCGGGGAAAGTGCATTACGGGGAAAGTTTCCTACAGTAAAACCAAGGCTCTGCAGAGGAGAAACTTCAAAAAGATAATTATGACTTGCTGATATAATAATATTGTTCTCAGGGTGCCATTACAAATTTAACTCAAATTAACAGATAATTATTCAGGGAAAACTTGTTTGGAAGCAGACTCAATTTTTTTCTAATCACCCATAACTGAGTTTTTTATTCTAAGCCGTCATAATGATGGCAGAGAGATGGTTGTTATCGCTGCACAGTTAGTTAATCGCCGGCTATTCAAGGACACAATTCTGCTCAAGCTACAGTCTTTTGGTAAGTTCTGGTACAATTTGAACTTAGACTTTAACACAGATACAGCCCTGTTTAAAAATCCTTCTCTGACTTTTTTTGTTCACTGAAAACAAAGAAGCAGAGAGAGTGAAGTAAAAACTAATGTCTGTGGGAGGAATACTGTCATCAAAATGGTTACGGAAGAGCATTATGAGGGTTATTGCTGTCACTTAAAAACTTGAAATGAAAACACTCCAGTCACAGTTTCCTCTCTTGTACCCTGGATTTTTTACATCTTTAGTACTGTTGGGTCATAAGGAAAAGCCTTTCAAAACCCCATATAATAATTTGGGGGGTAAAAATACCCAAAATAATTATTTCACTCTGGAACACCATGCCCTTCACATACCTTGTTAACCCATGTGTCACAGTGTAATTACCTCTGTCTGTGTCGTAGAGGAAGACAAATCGGCTCCAATCGTAGTGGTCCAGCAGCGAAAGTAGAGCCCCTCTGATGGACGGCCGCAGCTGCAGGGTGAACTGGCCCTCTCCTTCTGTGGGGAAACTGGGCGTCACCAGGCTGATGTGCAGGGCCCCACAGAACGACGTCAGCGTGTTCACCGAGCGCTTGTCGTAAAGGCCGAAGATGGCAAAGACCCCCCTGGAATACTGGGAACAGACTGATGCACAGAGGGAGGGAGGGAGGGAGGAGGGGTGTGGGGATAGAAGGATCCAGGTGGAAGAAGGGGAAAAAAATGGAAAAATAATAAAAACATTTTTAAAAAATACATTCAGAGACACTGTTTTTGAAAGCTTAGCATTGATTTGACAAGTTAACAGAATAGGAAAAAATTGAAAATTAAAGGATAGAACTGAGGGAGACACATGGTACCTAATTAACTGACACTGATATGTCAACTATTTTAATGAGCAAGAGCTTCAGCTTGTGTCAAGGATACCTTTTCACTCCTAATTAGACCCAAATCGGTAACTTTGAGTGGTATATGAGAATCGATAAATCTTGAAACTGCCCCATTAATCAGTTTAGCAGAAGTCTTGAACAGATTCCTCTGATAAAAAGTACCCTATCTATAAAAAATAAAAAAAAACTTTTCAAATTACTGTTTATGTCAAGTTCTGTTCGAGGTTTCTGCCCATGAAAAAGAAGATCCGTCATGTTACTGTTGCCAATTGTGTGCTCCTGGTGGAAAAAAGTTGGTTCTCTGTAAATATAATATATGCTATTTGTAATGAGAAAATTTTGTTGTGATTCCCGATATAAAAAAATAAAATGAATGAAAAGCAAAATCCTTCCCAGTCACTTCAAGCAGATGTAATTTCAAAAAGCCCACACATTTACATGTGCATGGGTAGAACTGCACTGTAGGCTTCTGGCAAGCAATTTTCAAATTTTCAGACAGGCACTAAATCATTCCCAAGAGGCAAAAACTAGCATGGCTGCTTTTACACTTGTTAAGGAAATTTCAGCCAGATATTCCCACCTGCTTCGAGCTTAACATCCTTAAGATCCATCTATCCTCACTCTCACACACGCACAGAGACACATACAATGATACCAAACCCTTGACCGAGCCGCGAGCTCACTTCAAATGTGAAGTCATTTTCCACTACAACACTGCACCTCAGTCTTCAAACACCCCGAAGCTTTCAACCATGACAGAGAGCAGAGTGAAAGGCACAGACGTCCTTCCCTATCTAGCTTCCATAAAAATCTCTCCTCTGCCTCAGTTCGTCGTTCATCCGTGCCGCTCGACCAAAACAGATTTTGAACACACAAAAAAAAATCTCTTGGGTGTGTGAAACGGAAAGTGCAGCAGATTTTGACAAATCAACCGAAATGTGCACACAAAGCCTTCTCAGGATTCCACGAGTGAAGAAACCAAAACTGTGTGTCAACAATTTTCTATATACGGCCTTTAAATGTTTCTCTTTGTCTGCCCTTTTTCCTCTGTCATCCTCTTATTTATTTTCCTCTTCTCCCTGTTTAGCCCCATTCATCCTTTCAGCTCGATTCTTGTAGGCAGGGGTGTTTTAAGCCGGAGCTCCATCCTGCGTCATTATTCACTCTCCAGCCTGTAATATACGTCACACTGGAGTAAACAGTAAGACGGGGAGCCGGGACTGCAGACCTTGCTATAGGCAACAACCGACCATCACCCTTTAACCTTTACAACTTCTTTTGCATCACTTCAAACCTTCTCCCCTCTCTTCTGTTTTCAGGGCAGACACTGCATCCATCCTCTTTCTTCCACTTTCCTTCATCTCATCCTTTTCGACTGCCTCCTCTTTCTGTTCCTCCCTCCCTCTCTCCTCCTGGGACTTAGAGTAATTCCATTATCAGCTATAAGCCTCAGTAGGGGTAAACACTGAGGGAGATGCAGCTTTGGTTCTTCGGCTTGTGGCAATTAAACAAAGCCGAGGCCTCTGCACCCAAGAGGTGATAAGGCGGGGATTTAGCCTCTGATTATGACAGCAGCTAAATGTCTTCAATTCAAAGAACTAGCATACTACGTACTTAGTATGCATCATTCAGAAGAAGCTGAGTCATGTCGTCCTCAAAGTCAGCAAACTTAGTGCCTCCAAAAAAAAAGATTTTCCATGGATTTCCAGGTTTTATTTGATAACTCGGAGCACATTGCAAGAAGGAGCATGTGCGTGTTTAACTTCTGAGTGACAGGTGCTATATTTTAACCAGACACAGGATCAGTCTAAAACCTGGAATGTTAGAAAAAGTTTGCACAGAATCCTTCAAGCAGACATCACAATTAAGCACTCAGGAGACAAGAGCAAAAGTTCATCTAAAAATAAATTAACAGCAAAATGGAAGGATTGAAACAAACTGCAAACAGAGACAGTTTGTTGAGATATGTTGCATTTATTTAGATAGAAACATTGAGGGGAATGCATTCTTTCTGTTCAGTCATGTTGCTCTTGTACCCCTGCAAAATGGCTCTTTGCAGAGAAAAAATAATGTGCTTACACTGTGTAAGGACAAACTAGAATAAACATACAATTGGATTTCTTTGACAGCAGTGTCATTGTAAATTCCATTACCTTTGCTCTAAAATGAGTTAGCGTTTTCAGGGATCAGCTGTTTTTGGTAAGAGAGCAGAGAACAGAAAAACACTGGCAGATAGATAAAGAAAGCATTACACATGTGAACTGACATACTGGGTAACACACCGAGTTGAGTGCTGCTCCCATGCCAACTGATGCATCTTTTTCAGAAACTTGACAAAAGTACTGGCCTAGATGCAGTCTGTGACATCACTATCTGAAAGTTTTATTTGTCACCCAGCTCCTGGGTCTCCATCAAAACTTAAGGAAATATTGATAGCCTTAATCCCAAAACATTCTATTTTTAACAATGCCAAGACATCTGCAGCCATACACAGACAGGCCCAGAGCATATAACAAAAATATATCTTATTCTCAGTCTCATGCTTCATTCACCCACACTATTTTCTCTCCTATATTTCACCTCTTCCCTCCCTTATGACCTTGTTTTGTATCAAAAGCCTTCTGATCCTTTGCCTCTCCTCCATTCTTTCTCCCATCTTACTCGATCTGATGTATCGCTGGATGGGCTTTTTTTTTCTCTGCAACCCTGTCCAACATCAACTCCACCTCCACTCCCACCACCAAGCCGCCGCAGGGTTGGAATGTGCCAGACAGTGGCGTCATTGTAATAAAATGTGTGCTAAGCTTGCTCCATAAAGCTTTAATGAGAGGAAGGGACCAGCAGCACTGTGCATCATCACCACTGTAAAAGCATCCGACACAATAGGTCTCCTGGGACGTCCTCTACCTGCACCTCTCGATGCCTCCCCCTCATCTCCATATGTTCGATTTTTTTTGTTGTTGTTGTGTACAACCCTCTGTCTTTTTCAGGTTCCTAATTGCTCGCTCTGTCTGTCAAACCTTGTCTTATTGCCAGTGCAGACTTCTCCATAAATCTCTTTTAAAACCGTTCTCCCTTATCTGCATTACTCCATACTGTATATCAAGCTCGAGCATGTGTGCATCTTCCTCGCCAGCTTCCCCTGCCTCTCTCTGATTCATTTCTCTTTGTGCATTTAGAAACCCCTCTCCATCATGTGAATCCATGGGCACATCACTTTACTTATTGTAGTTCAATTCAAATGTGACCATTTGCATAACAGGGGAGAGAATGCATTGCTTAGGCAGCACAGTACTTTACTAATATCTTAGCCCTCTTTGCATTGCTGATTTCTATTTCTCTACCCTCTCCCATATTTGCCCCCCCCCCCTCCATATTCTTTCTTTTTCTTTTTTTACCCCTCTCATCACAGTGCTTATGTCTGTGGGCCGGCTGCTTGTTTGTGTTTCATATGACACTAAGAACAGATGCTCACAGATAACCTGCTGCTGATTTCCCTGTCACTGCACCACAGCTCAAAAAATACAAAAGCAACACACACTTGCATAGACACAGTCACCCATTTTTTTTTTTTAACACATAAAAGCAAGAACTCCATCCTCAAACACATACATTCAGCTTTACAACCTCCTGCCCCAAATCTGTGCATGCTTCTCACCCTTTTGAATAACAACCATCTATAGCTGAAGTCAACTTCTACACACAGAAACACGGCAAAGATACCCTGGGCTCTTATAACCTGCAGCCGAAGGCCAAACAACGTTTTTTTTTTCCTCCTGGCATTGCCCCTGGTTACCTGCAGTGTAGCACAGTGATACCTGGAGGGCAGAAGGAAGGTAAATGCCAATCGTAGTGTTCGTTAGCTATACAATTACAAGAAGAATCAACCACCCAAAGCTTCACACTGACATTCAAGAAATGTGCAAGTTGTATGCTCAAGAGGAGTGAGCTCTGGTTTCTATTCTGATACAGAACCACATGAGTTTTACAGGGAAAAGCAAAAGGACTGGAGCATCCTGCAACCAGAAGAATGGTGTTTCTCCAGTGACTGAAACTGTAGGCTAACACAATCTGACACAACTAGTTCAAAGTGTGAATTAAATTAACACTTCTTGTCAGTTATAAATACTGAAAAAATGGTAAGTATGCAGTATGGAAAAGGATGGGTTTTCTACTGCTGTAACCCTGGTTTTAGAAGACTAAAGTGGGACTGAAATGAATAGAGTTGGCGTGAATTCTCCGACCTAGTAAAATCCTTGAATGAACTTTGACAGATGCTTAAAAAAAAAAAAACTCCAATGAAGAAGGCTTTAAAATGGAAAAATTATAGAAGTTGTTCCAATGCCATAAGACTTGTACTATTGTATTATCATGTTTCAAACATTACTATTACTAAAGAAATAGATGATAGCCTACATGTTTATAACCTTACCCACAGTAATTTAATAATAATTTAAAATTTAACACTTTTATAGTCCCAAGCTTTGACTGTACAGGCTTCTCTTTATGCTATTAAAGGTTGACATGGCAGAGGGTTTGTATTGTATGGTTGATCCTAGTATTCTCTATAAAGATATCTAAACAACATAATGAACATCATCAGTATTGTACACAATTCATGCCACATTTTCACTGCAGGATATGTTGAGAATAGTTGCTTAACACTCTGATTCTGTCCTCACAATGAGTTTCTACAAACAGTTTTCTTCAAGCACAACCTCAACTTAATTTTTAGGAAAAACTATTCATGAAAATAAA